CGAGCCAAATTGACAGCCCTATGTGATGAAAGAAAATGTGAAGAAAAAGCGATAATGTTTTTGTAAATTCGTAAAATTAGGAAATAAGTTGTTTTTTGGGTGAAATTTTGTAAAGAATGAATTAATATTCTTTGTGTAAAGTTTCAAAAATTTGTATTGAAATTTTTTGTAAAAGATTGTATTTTGTAAATTTTCATCTTTTTTTGTTTAATTTGTAAATTCTAAAATTTGTAATAAAATTTGTATTTTGTAAAATTTGGTGAAAAAGTATTAATGTTTTTTTTGTAAAATTTGGTTTGCAAATTTTTTCTAGAAATTTATTCTTCAAATATGTTTTGAATTAAGTTGGTAGTTCAAACAGTTTTAATAAAAAATTGTTATTACTTTTTTTAAAAAAATAAATTATTATAATAATTTAATATTATAACGAGCTAATTTCGAGCCGAACACGAGCCGAACACGAACACGATTATCATTTTCGAGCCGAACACGAACACACTGTTCACGAGCCATTTCGAACACGAGCTGATTTCGAACGAGCTGAACACGAGCCCAGACTGAGCTCGCTCAGGCTCAGCTCGTTTACAGCCCTACTTAGCTTAATGTGCTTATACATACAAAATAAAACATTTCATTCATTTTATAAATATTGTAAGAGTTTATAAGAAAAAGGACACACGAAAAAGACTGTGTATAAAGGAATTATGGTTTCTTAGTTAATAAGAGGTAGAACTTGTTCAAGCTCTCTTCAAGAACTATTTTACTCTTCCATCTCCTCTCTTCACCAGACTAGGTGACACTCACTCTCCCACCCTCACACTTGCACACACTCACTATCTCTCCCAGAAGACTTAAAAAACTCTTATAAACTCCACTATAATCCCCTTACTAAAGCTCTTCCTTTTTGTCGAGTCTCTTTAGCCTCTCTAATTGTAAATCACAGCTTCAAATTTGAATTCAAAGTGAATAACTATTCTAGTTGAGGCTTAGGACTAAAGCACTTCAACAACAATCTTATGATGTTGGGACAATGCTATAGCATTCAACTATAAGCAATGAGGTGTCATGTCCATTATTCTCTTGATCTTTACTATGATATTCATAGTATTGTTGCACTCTAATAGATAATGTTGTAGAGATCCATGCAACACTCAAAGTTTAACACTGAGGCACCATACTCTTCAAAATGTTGTTGGAAAAATTACCACCATAGTGCATGGATGTTGGAGTCAGCATTGCGACACTAACTTAAATTTCACCAAATCATCATTAAACTTCTCTAAGGGATTTCTTGCACATAAAAAAACACTAATTAATTTAATATATGTGGAAAATATGAATTAAGAAATTAGGCATATTTGTAAATGTTTTTCTTACTCAAATAATCACCTAAACTCAAATATTACATTTCCATAAGCATTTCTTTATCTATATAAGTCTTAAACTGGTTCAACAACAATTAACCTAAAGTATATCTCACTTTAAGCCACTAAGGAATATATAATTAAAATCAATTAAAACTTTTAAAAATACATGAAATTTAATTGACTAAAAATATCTAAACTTTTTAATAGTATTAGTAGTATGTTTAACTTAAATTTCTAAACAATATTGTAAGTTATTGAAAAAAATTCATTTAATCAATAATCATTCGTAAAATTTTATAATTAATCAATTTTATACCCTTAATTTAGATGTTCATATTTTAAATACAAGTCATTTAAGTTCAATTGATGATATTTTCAATTATTTACATGAAAAGAAAGAATAGATTCAAATTTCTATTTGTTAAATTTAATCTCAAATGTATCTTTATTATCTTTATTTTATCACTTTTATTCTTTTATATATGAAGAGCTTTTTCCTTTTCTTTTATTTTTCTCTTTTCTTTAGTAATTGTTAATTCAATGGGAATTTGATAGTTTCTAGAGTTTATTATGTCTTTAATTACTACACTCTTCATAATTAGTCAACAATAATTTTAAGTCAAATTTGTGAAATAGATGTTTCTAGTCACTAACATTTAGATAATTAATTATTTAAAGAATAAGTGAAACAAAAGTACAATAAAGAAATATTTTTATAAATTCATAAAATAATAGTACAAAGACACACATAGAAAATACTCGTACTTGTCTCCCCCCACCCAAACTCAGACTTCACAAAAGAAAAAAAATGCAATAATAAATAAAAAGAAACAAAATAATTATTAAACTACCCTCAGTGGTTATCATTGGTCTTCTCATCATCTTCCTTCTCCTTGGTGAAGCTAGTAAGGAAGGGGAAGTTCATCTTGTTGGGCCCCACATTTAGATTGTTCGGAGAGAACATCAGTGACATTATTGCACAATGATCATGCAATCAGGATAACTATCTATGTTGTTGCACCTCAATGTGGTTAATAATGAACCCTAAAGTTGTAATAACACTTTTCAAGGCTTGGACTTGCTTTGATAATGTACATGTATTTTCTAGGGCAAAAGTAGAGGTGGAGTTTTGCTGGGAGGAGCTAGGAGCTAGCTTATTAGTGTTCTTATAATTGACCAATTGAAGAAATTTTGGTTGTTGTCCCAACAGGTGTTGTATTTATATGGTATGTTTATTGTTATTCTTTTCATCATGTAAGTTTACTTGATTTTTGGGTCTATAATTCATGGTAACTTTATTTGAATGAGGCATTTTGTACTTTTCTTATGTTGTGGATGAAGAAGGGAATAAACTCTATGTTAAAATTCAAAACTCCATTCATGAGCTTTTCTGTCAAAGAATCTTTCAGATGTGTCCAGATTTCAGCATTAATAGATGCATTATTTTAGAAGTTGTCAAAGAGCTAATAGTTGCCTTCTATTTTATCACCTTTTACAATCATCATTGCAATTGGCCCATCGAGTTGTTACTAGAATCATTTTACTCGAATGCTACTCCCAAATGTCATCAAGGATAAGTAAGAATATCGTAGAAGTCACCAGTTACCTTGACAAAAGACTTCTTTATCAAGTGAATCCAAATCAAGCCTATCACTTTTATTCTTTTATATATGAAGAGCTTTTTTCTTTTCTTTTATTTTTCTCTTTTCTTTAGTAATTGTTAATTCAATGGGAATTTGATAGTTTCTAGAGTTTATTATGTCTTTAATTACTACAGTTTATTTAAAACTTTTTTTTTGTTTTTTTTTTATTTTTAAGTCTCATTTTTAGTCTTGTCTAAGTTAGTCTTTCAAAAAATAATTTTTATTTTTCTTATCATTATTTTAATATGTTGACTTTGTCTGTATGGCTTGAAATTGAAAAAAAATATATATTTTTATTGCAAATAAATTATTTAAATTCAACTTTTGTGTGGCTTGAAGTCCCAGACACAACTTAGATGCAAATGTAAGCACATAAAAATAGAGTAAATTATATAAAAAAAAAAAAAAAAATATAAAAATTGTGGGAACTATTAAAATTGTGGCGGTTTGAAGCACCACTTTTGTCTTAAAATGGTGCCACAAAAATGTTGGTGGTGCAAAACAATTATAGCAATGTATTTAGCAGTTTTAAATCGCTGCAATATTTTTTTATTATAAACAACTTATTCTGAAATGTGGCCCGCAGGTCGACCACAGGGGTCGACCTGTGGTCGACCTGTGGCCTGCGTTTAGCGTAAAAAACTCAAACGCGACAGATAGCATTTTCAAAAACGCTCAAGCCAAATCAAACCAGCCCAAATCATTAACTTTGCTCTGATTCCCCTCATCATGTCTGATTTGAATAAATTCAGATCCGTCGTATGCTTCCCATAATTTCTTCCCAAACCATCCTCATCATATTCCAAAATTACTAAATTTACATTTCCTAAAACACCAAACAAATTAGTGATATCTATTTTCAAATATCATCAAACCAATCAATCCTTCTCCAATCCCACCTCATGAAACTTCAGTGACTCAAGTGCCTTATCAAAAAGCCGAGTCCTTATCCCCAAATACTCCGGCCATGTCACGGGTCGATAAATGGGCCCCACTCCCAAATCCACCACTTTTTCAACCGAGCCCACCTTAAGATCCCCCGGCGGGCCCATGAAATAAGCTGCCGAAATCCTATGATTGGCCTTGCTCACGAGAGCCCGGTGCCTCACGTTTTTGAACCGTCCATTAGACAGTATGTGGAACAGATCCCCCACATTAACCACCAGCGTTTCGGGCCTATGCGGCACTTCAACCCACTGGGCCGACTCAGATCCAGATCCACAACGCAGAACCTGAAGCCCGCAGGCCCCATCGCTCTGGTGGAGCACGGTGAGCAAGGCGGAGTCCGTGTGGGCCGCCATGCCTATGGCTCGCTCGGGCTCAGGGCAGGCTGGGTAGGAGTTGAGTTGGATCACTTCCGCCGCGTCGGAGAGCTCTTTTAATGGTCCGACTTGGGCCACCTCGTCCTCATGAAGGCCCAGTGAGAGCAGCATGAGCCTCATGAGTCTTGCAGCCAGCTTCTTCATCTCCTTTCTGTATGCTTTCATCACCTCACTGCAAGCCATCATGTCAAAACAATTAAGCTTTGTTGCATGCAATAACAGATAAATTTGTAGCGTGAAGCTCGCTCATGGAGTTGTAAATCTGGATAGATTTTAAATCCCACAAATCGGTGGATTTAACGTTGCGGGATTCGAAGTTATGACGCAGATAGTTTTATTGAATTTAGTAGAACTGTTGTCAGATGGTTTTTCGGATTTAATCCATTCAGAAATTTAAGAAAACTGAAATCATCGAATTTACTAAATCCTAATAACTTAAGGAGCCATCTGGCTATGGATTTAGTCCTAGATTTAAGCTGTAAATCCTGTAAATCATGCGAGACTGTCATTTTGGACAACATAAACCAGCAGATTTCACAGATTTCAACTGCAAATCTCTGATTTATCGAATCCCACGAACCGGCGGATTTAAGTTTATAAGGGATTCACTGAACCCTAATACCTTAAATCTCACCAAAATCTGATTGCCAGAAAACAGAGAAATGTGGGACATGGAGCATATACCAGAAAGAAGAAGAATCGATGATCGGGCCGAGTTGGGAAGCAACACCTAGCGGTTCGCCGGCGAGGGTGAACCCTTCGGACCACATGAGCTTGGGGAAGAAGGAGGAGAGGGGCGGGTGGCCATAGCCGGAGAGAGAGCCATCCCTGCGCGCGGTGAGGAGCTTGCGGTGAAGGGGAAGGGAGAATAAGCTGCGGGCGTGAGATTCAACTAGATTGAGAAGATCGGGGGGGACGCCATGGGAGGTTGCGTAGAAGGCGCCCCATGAGCGGCAGGCGGCGCCGATCATGGAGGCTGCGTCGGGGTCGGATATGTCGATTACAGGGATGCTGGAGCTGCTATCTGCGATGGGGTGGTCGTGGAGATGGATGGGAGGCCATGAATGGGTTTCGGGGACATGAATGGCGGAGTATAGATCGAAATGTTGGTTTGAGAGAGAAGGCATTTGGGGGGTGGAGGGGAAGTGCCGGAATTAGTTATGAGCAGGGCATGGCATCGACTATTTAAAATGTGTGGCAGAGGCCCAAAAAATTTGATTTAAAATTTTGACTCGTAGCTCCGCTCGTTAGTTTCGATCCGAACGAGTTTGAGCTAAGTTTGCTAATTCGTAGTCATAACATCAGTAAGACTGGTAACGATCTGATTTCAAACCGAGCTAAGGTTGACCCGCTCGAATCGAATTGGGAAAAAATTTGATCCAAACTTTTGGCTCGTAGTCCGACTGATTTATTTTGATATGATCTTTGCCGAGCAACTTAGTTTCGGTTCGAACGAGTTTGAGCTAAGTTTGCTAATTTCGTAGTCATAACATCAATAAGACTGGTAACGATCTGATTTCGACCCGAGCTGAGGTCGACCCACTCGAATCGAATGAGAGAAAGATTTGATCCAAACTTTTGGCTCGTAGTTCGACTGATTTATTTTGATATGATCTTTGCCGAGCAATTAACAATCTTCGGGCGAAGGCCGTAGTCATCATGACTGAGAGAGAGAGAGAGAGAGGGAGAGAGAGAGATTATGTCTTCAGGCTAAGGCCGTAATCATCATGATTGAGAGAGAGCGAGGGAGAGAGAGAGATTATTGTTTGATTAATAGTTGTGTGGGAGAATATCTGCTTCAAAATCACAAAATTATTTTGCTTAATGGTTGTTTCATTAAGGAAAAGATTAGGGAGTAATTAAGTCATTGTCTGCTTTTATTAAAAAGGGAAATTTACATACATATCACATGATTCTTAATTAGATTATGATTCCGTGAGTACTTTATATTAATTAGATTAAAAAAACTTCATATATGAAGCTTATAAACTATAAGCATGTTAATTATTCTGTATATAAAAATCATAAAATCAGCCATTAATCATTATGTTTAATCAAACCATAATTGCAAGCATGGATCCAAGTTACCTGAAACAACTATTTAAAAGTTCAGAATAAAATAGACAGAAATCACCATCATCTTCCTCCATTGCTGCAACACCAAGCTGATCAGAGGCCTTCATAAATCCTCCATCAAATTGATGCATATTTATATATAGTCTATAGTGCTAACTTATATGATACATGCTGACAAAATTCCAAGAGAAGAAAGAGAGCTTGTAGGTTGAGACAAGCAGGGATGGTGGGCATTGGAGCAAGTGTTGTCGCTCATGAGTGGGGCCTTGGATGCAAGTGTTGATGGAAAGAGGACAACATATGATTCATTTGATGAAAGGGATGAGAGGTGGACAAAAGGTGGAAAAGATGGGAGTCCAAATCTGAAATGATGATGGAAATCTCTCGGATTGCCATCAAAATGCATTATTATGGAAAGAGAGGGGAGAAATGCTGCATGCCCTGGGCATGTGCGTTTGTCCTGTCTTCAAGTAGAAAGGTGCTGATGTTTTATGAAGCTTATTTCTCATGCATCTTGTTGGTTTGTGATAACAGATGGTGTTTCAGTTCGGTCTGAAAATGATTTTGACAACTGGAGGAGATTAGTGGAGCTGAGTGAGTGCTTTATGTGAGTTGAAGATTTCATGTTATGAGGTTGATTGATGATCGAGATAATTTATGTTAGTATGATTGTTACCGAATTAAGGTGGTGTCGGGAGAGTATTATTTATAGGATTTCATCATGAATTTAGTTTAAATCTAGTCAAATATAGAATAATAATAATAATGATGATGATAAGTAAATCCAACGCTCTGTTAAATCTAATTTTCTCGCGTTTCATCTAATTCTTCTCGTTTCTGTCGCTTTTGAGACATAAATCTAGATTTCTCAAATCCAATTGCAGGTTGTATTTACTTTGTAGTCATTCGCGATCTCTTTCCGTCACTGGTTCGATTTGATAGATTCAGATTTATCGGATTTGATAAATTTTATTTAATGTAAATCTAACATGCAGTCAAACACCACTTAAGTGCCGACCTCTAATAAAGAGCATCTCCTTCCTTATGTGGATAGATGTTGCTTTGACTTGGGTAATAATTGCAAGAGAACTAGGCAATGACAATTTTTCAGAAGTTAAGGGAGAGACCCCTCGATGAAGATTATGCTACAAAAAAATCTATTTTCAATATTTAATATTCATAAAATAGGCTCAAGAAATGTGTTTTGAAAGGCACTTTGGGATCTCCTTTAGAACGCCTAGGATTTTCCTCTCCTTTTATGCAACTCTACTTCCCTATTTTTTACTATTAAAACCTTAGGCACTTCTAATCTACTCTAGGTAGTTCTTAGCATTTGTTGGGCTTTGTGTTGAAAATTAAACTTGATTTCTTGGCCATATAAAATTGGACTATAATTGAGCTCATAATCTACAATGATCTTTAAAATATTTCTAGAGACACTTTCTAAAAGAAAATTTTTGAATCTTATAGAAACATTTTAAAAGAGTGATTTAGACAATTCTAGAATATATAAATAACGACTTAGGTAGGAGAATAATTTAAATCATATTTTCCAAAGGAATGTCAGTGGTTCTTGAAGGCTTGGCTGGATGATTGAGTTATTTCCCATTTATAATTTATTTATTTATTTATTTATTTTGGCTTTCAAGTTTTTTTTCTTTTCCCTTATGTATTTATTTTGCTTGTTTTTTTTTAAAGTCCTCTTTTTGTGTCATTCTATTTCAAGCTCATGAAGTACAGATTCATGGGATGCTTATATGTTTCATAAGCCCTCGCCTACTGAGACTCCTCTCACATTCAAGTCTAGGATCAAATCAAGCATGTAAGAACTTAGATGGTTTTGGAGATCATAGAAACTTTCAATTATCTATGTTTCCATTATTTTATGTAGTATTTAGTTTCTTTAAAATTGTGTGTTAATTGTATTATTTTGGTAAAATGTATTTATTATTTATGTTAAAGTCAAATATTTGTTTATGTAGCATTGACCTTACTTATATAGATTCAAGGCACACTTTACGTGGTTTTATGTGGCTTTGACTTGATAGTGAATGGAGTGGAAAGTTTGGCCAAGGTGGTTTGGTGGTTTCATGAAGGGAGGCGATCATTTCCTCTCTCTTCCTCTCATTGGGTAGTTACCATAGTAGTGAATATGTGTGATAAAATGATGCTTAGCATTGTATTTGAACTCTTCTTTTCTCTAAAATAAAATATTATTAGTTAATTGTGTGAACTCTTCAGTGAAGAATTCTGCATTAGCTTGAGGTTTGGTGGCTAGTAGCCCAAGAGATTTGGTGATCTCCTTGGAAATTTGCTTTGGTGAGTATGAATTTTTATTTTTTTTGTGCTTATTTCATGCAAATCTTGTATTTATTATGTTAGTGTTGTTGTCTATTTAATGTTCTAAAAGAAAAAACCTAAAATCATGTGCTTTACCTTTTTGTTTTGTTGGTTAAAATTTCTAAATCTATTTTTCTCTAAAAAATTGGATCTAGTTCTGTCATTTGTCTAATTTAGTCAACCAAATTATCTCTAACAAATTTGAATTTGGTTATCATGTTTTTTCTCTTTCTCTACTTCAAATATATAAAAAATACCTATAATGTTATATTAAAATTAGTTAGGCCAGAAACCCTAGTTTTATGTCTTATGATTCCTGTTTCTGATTTTGTAAGTTTTCTGTTTTTAAATTCATATCACCAATGTTGCAAACCCAACAAAACCCTCATAATCCTTATTAGGGTGTTTCTAATACTATATTCATTTAAATTACTAAATTTTCAATCCTCCACAAATATCTTTAACCCATCTTCAAAACTTGGTCATCTCTGAGTAGAACCAACCTATCTCTGATATACCACTGTTTCTCCATATCAGATTAATCCAAAATTTAAAAACTTTTTAGAATAGTAGTTAACATCCTACCCTACAATTCAATTGCTTGTTTATATGAATTTGAGGCATGTAGAGAAAGTTATTTGTGTTTGAAGTGAGACTTCAAGCTTCTTAATAGAATAAACTTTAATTCCACTTTTACCACTCCCAATTGAGGTCCTCTACTAAAATTTTATCTTCTGAACTTTGAAGGAGATTTAGTCCATTGATCAATTCTTAGTGATCTTGATCCTTCATAAATAACAATCATCTCACACCCTACCGCATCATTTTTGCCCTTAAGAACTCTATTAAATTGAGTTGTATGCTCTTTATCATCGACAAGCTAGAAGAATTATCTTCATCTAAGTCATTCACCCATTCTTTTAGATCTTTTATTGAGCTACTCTTGCTATTCATAGTTTTCTCCATCTGGGATAAGAATGAATCAAAGTTAGATATCACATCTCACATTTTGTTTGTTATTGGTGCCTTAGGATTGCATTGATCCTTACAATTTTTTTCATATTGATTTCATGTAGGTGATATTAGACCCAAAAAATTAAACTATGATGTTGTTTATATGCCTAAACCTAAGTTCTTATACAAATTATCACTTTTGTAATCTTTCTACCAGAAGCTTGCGGCTTTAGCACTCATAAAATGCCAATTAATCCTTATTTATCTCTCTTACTTGCAAAACATTTGTAATATATGGGATGGAAAAGTGAGAAAAAGTTTGAGAAAAATAACTTTGTACCTAAAAAGAGCATTTATAAAATTTGTACTAACTCTCAACTTGTGTGTCCCAAACAAGGCGGTTCTTGACTCCATTTAAAGTTCAAAAGAACCTCTTCAAGCATATTTTAGAACTCAATGGAACATTTATCTTCTCAGAGTCTTCTATAATAATAATGATTATTCTAGTGTATTATTAAGGAACACACCAAATTAAAGACATTTCTACATGACTTTATATACTTTTATATGACTCTACAAAACTTTAAAAGATTCATAATATTCTAAAAGATTCATAGACTTCTAAATTATTCATGAAGTATCTAAAAGGTTATATTGTTAAGATTTGCAGAATATTCTTGTGAAATTTAAAATTTTCTAGGTCTTGTAAGTCCTCCAAGATCATTCTGATTAAGTCTAGAATTACTTAGAATCATCCAGAGTCTTCTAGAATATTATAAGCTTGATTACAAGATGATTTTGATAGATTATTTTTATCATGATTATCACTAAATGCCTAAAAAAGTGTGGTTAAGCTTGTTGCCTCTTAGCAGGGTGTGACGATAAACTCTTAAACAATGTGTTAAGATTGATTGACTCATTAGACATGAAGTACTAAGATATCAAGCAAAT